CTCTCTCTCTCTCCTTTTCTCTCTATGTCTTGTCCTTCACTCCTCTACTCCAATCCTCCAGTCTGCAGTGTCATCTGTCTCACTAAAAACTCTGAAAGCATGGCGGCATTCTCTCTTTTTTCCTGCACTTTGCTCTCGCTTTTTACCCACCACTCAGTTCTTTTTTCCCATCTCAGTTCTTCCGTCTCTTGCTTATCTTTTGGGGAGAAATAAAGCCACGGTAAATGGTTATGTGGTGTGGATTTTGCCGAAAATTATACTTATGCTAGGTGTCTGCTCTACATGCACCTTTGTTGTCCCCTATATGTGCAAGAGAGAGTGTGTGTGTGTGTGTGTGTGTGTGTGTGTCTGTGTATGTGTATGTGACTAATGCAGATAGTTCTACAGATGGCCCATAAAAGCAGCAGCTTGTAATGAAGCAACTGAGACTGAAATCATGGTTATGGTAAACTGGGGAGAGACAGAGATAGGAAAAGACAGGCAGAGATAGATAGATAAAGAGAGAGAATAGAGAGGAGGAAGAAGTAAGGGGAAGAGAGAATAAATAAGAGAGGGCAGGCAGCAATAAACCATGAAAAGGAGTGTGGTATAGCCGTTGGCTACTGAATAAACTAGTGTAATGAAACTATGTGATGTTCACAATAAACTAGGGAGTAAAAGAAAGGAGGAATGAAGGGATGGACAGAAGGGGTGATATAGTGGTATGGTTGGAACAGGGGAGAGAGAGAGAGAGAGAGAGAGAGAGGGAAGGAGCTGGCATGTCATCAAGGTTTTGAGTTGAGGAGGAGGGAGGGAGGATGGGAGGGGAGGGGATGGGTGGAGTGTGACAGGAAGAGACATTGAGGGAAGAGTGGGGAGAGATAAAAAAAACAGGGGATATGGGAATAAAAGATAAAACGAAGGGGCTAAAGAAGCAGAGACAGATGGAGAAAGGGAGGAGGAAAGAGCTAAAAAAGAGTGAAAACGAAGCAAAAGGAAAGCAAAAAGATATTTAAAAAAAATAGGTTGAATGAAAATGTAATGGAGGCACTCATTAAAAACCAAATGGCTAAGAAGGGAAAGTGTTGGCGTGAGTGTGATTCCGATCACAAACAGAGCGTGTGTATATATGTATGTGTGCGTGTGTGTGTGTGTGTTGGTGAGAGTAAATGTGTGTCTGATAGGGCACTGAACAACAAACATCCTGACACTGAGTGGGGCCACACTGACTGGCAAAATCGATAGGCCAACAGGTCACAACACTAGGCCAACCTGACATCCAATCACAATACAGCACAGGGGGGTCGCCACAGTGATGGATGACCCTGGGTGTGTATGTGTGTGTGTGTGTGTGGGTGTGTGGGCGTGCATCTGTGCTAGTGTCTTGTCAGTGTGCGTTTCTCTGTATCTGTGTGTCTATGTGAAGATAAGGAGGATGGTGGTTGGAGGGGGGGGGGTCTATCAGGGTCTTTAGCAAAACGATTTTCCTCTCTTGCTGTGTTGTCCGTGCTCTCGGAGTACCAGAATTAAATATACCCTCTAAAGAAAACCTTAAACAGAAACTTTATATCAGCTAATTGCAGCACATGAAGGCATGTTTGGGTGTATTTTTCTGCAATGGAAACTCATTTAGAGGCAAAGTTATTTCTCTTATTATGTTATTTTTGTTCTAGTTATATCTATTTTTAAATGATCCACAAGCTTTGGTCTAGTGGACCCCATCACAAGGGAGACGGGTGCTAATAATAAAAGGTAGCAAGTTTCATTTAAAGGAAACTAAACAAAGGAAAGAGTGTTTGTGTGTGGCCATGTCCACGCAATAAGTAAGAGTAAACAGCATCACTGTGGCTGCAGTGGAAACCGAGAGGGTTGAGAGAGTAAGGAGGGTGTAATTGAAAAGGTATGACAATAAAATCATTGTATAAATTATTCAATCAGTCAACCAATCTAAGAATCACTGAATCGGTTCATTTGCTGACATCACATCTTCTCTAACCGCTGTCTGCTTTGTGAATGATAATTACACATTTTTGTCGTTAGCATGGAAAATATTCCCCTGTAGCTGTACTCTCTTTTTATTCAGAAATTATTGAGCATATTTCTGAAGTTTGAGGAGTGAAGCTCCACCTCTCATTTGGGAGCAGTAAGCGTAATCTCTCTCACTGCTAGAGGAGAGAATCTTCACTGCCCTCACGGTTTGATTCGATTATGATACATCTGTCAACAATTCGAATGCAAAACGATTCTCTTCTAGTCGGGTAGCCATCTCATGATGACTAGCTTTACTCATTACATGGGCTTTGGTTTCGCTGTAGTGTGGAGGTATTGCCATTTCTGTAAAGTGTGCCCGAGACTGGAAGATTCTCTTCCCTCACTCAGAGCAAACTTGACAGTGGCTTCTCCTTGGCTGATTAGCTGGGCTCACTGTATGCTTTATGCCCACAGACATTAGCTTGGGATGAAAATGGCTTACGTGGTTCCTCAGATTTGTTGCTTTACCAAAATATTTAATTTATGTGAGGCAGATTTTACACACAGCATGCATCTTGTCCAGTTTCGTGCTTCCCAGTGAGTTCATAAAATCTGAAATGTGCCAAGATGTCTGCTTTCAAAATACTGGGTATGTTTTTAATTACTTACTGCTTATGTTTGCTTCCGTCTATCATATGTATAAAAGTAATTAGTCGTAGTCTTAATTCAATGCTAGAAAGTGATGTTGCAATGTAACGAAACAACTTCCATGTCCAACAAACAACATTGGTGTAGTTTTGTGTAGACAGCAAACTCCTGATTATATTTATTGTCACTGCATTAATGCAGAATCTTCTATGTCTGCATTGCAATGCATCTTGAATCAAGAAATTTCCACCCCTCTTTTGCTGATTTCTCTCTTTCTGTACTTCCCCCCGTCCCTTTTTACTTTCCTGTTCACTTCTTTCCCCCCCTTCTATCTGAGTAGTTTCATAGTGCTATCTATCATGTTGGGCATCCTCTGTCTCTTTCTGTCTCTCATTTTTTATTTTATTTTTTTCACCTCCCCCTCCTTTAGTCTCTCTCTGCTCTTGCCTCCCCCTCAGCCAATCTGTCTGTCTCCCTCTCCCCCCTCCCTAACCCCCTATCTGTCTGAACAGTTTCATAGTTGTATCAATCAAGTTCAAACAATAAGACTGGAGTTGGTCCCTGTTCTCCCATCTACTTCCTGGTTTATGGCTTGTAATACCCCTTCTCTCCCTCTTTGTGCTGTGTGTGTTTATGTGTGCGGATGTTTATATGCACACTTGTGCATATGTCTTAGGCAGAGAATTGTAAATATATCTAGAGGGAATAATGTGATTAACTATAAAACATTCTGATATTGTCTGCCTCCATTTCTCTGGGGCTGAGTTTAGCCTCCTTTGACTCGGAGCGCAGTCAAAATATTCTTTTACAGCCTTCATACTTGGCAATATGTATTGTAAAGAACTATAGGCTTAAGGACCTTTGCATTATGTGTGCTTGGGGTACAATTTTAGAAGAGGCTGTGACATTGTGTAGGTATTTAAACTGCATCATCACAATGAAAGTGTCTTTCTTAGCTGACCATGAAACTGTGTTTTTTAATAGTAGACACAGCGTGTGGAGGCTGTAGGTGCTCCAGAGCAGTCTCCGTATTGGGTGCATCACTGAGCAAGAGCTGGGTATATTATTAGGTTGAGTGAGTGGTTGAGTTAGGGGAAATGCATAGTTTAACATTTTAGTACAGTTAAATCAGAAAAGCTTAAATTCTCCTCCCTTTCTCTGTTTCTCTCTTCTTCTGCAGAGCTCCACAGTACATCGTGTGGAAACCCTGGTGTCCCACCCAAAGCAGTGCTGAGTGGTGGCGGCCGTTTTGCTGTGGGAGACCGTGTGCGGTACAGCTGTGTTCCTGGTTATGTCTTAGATGGCCATGCCACACTCACCTGCATTACCAATGCTGGAAACACTGCTGTCTGGGACTTTCCTGCTCCGATTTGTAGAGGTATGGACGACTTAACCTAAATGTGTATGTGCATGAGTGTATATGAAGAGTTTTATTCTAAAGTAAAAAAAAAATAAAACTTAGGAAATGGTGCATCTATTGATTTGGAGTACATTTCTCACAATGAACACAAATTATGAACATAGAAATTACAATACTTGCAATTAGTTTTACAAAAATAATACATGACTGTATACTGTACATATAAAATGCTTTTCTAAAACTAAATATTTTGAAGTGTGGAAGAAAACTCTTCATATAATTTATGTGTAAAGGTGTGTCGGTGAGAGAGACAGACAGACGGCGCATGCATTTGTGTGTATTTGAAAGCGAGTGAGGCAGGCAAACCAGGAATGCTTGTGTGTATAGTGTATGTGTGTCTTTTTTTTTTTTTTTACTTCATAATCAAAGGTATGTGTAGGAGAGAGGCAAATATGCGGAGTGCACTGTATGCTATTGTCTATTTTTGGATTCTGGTTGTCTGGGTATGTGTAGTTGGTCTGTGTGCAGTGTTGTATGCTAAGCCACACCACATTACGTATGCTAAGGAAGACCTCTGCTTTACTTTATGCATTTGTACCGACATACATCCCCCATATGGTGTAGGCGGATGCAAATCCAGCATCATATATGTGTGCATGTACATATTGCAAAATTGTCTTTTAAAATAAGTTTATTTCATATTAATGTATATTCTACGATGCCTAGTATCAACATTGTTGATAATATTTACTTTAAAGTTCCACTGTCCATGTTTTATATTTTCATCAAATGTATGCAAATAGGTCCCTGTTATGGAAAGTGTTGCTTGTACAACCAATCCTGCTGAGAATCACACCCACAATCTGCAGATGTATGCTGCCCTTAGCCGGTGACAGCTCATTGTTTTGCTTTGCCAGTGCATATGGCTAGTCCCAACGGTTCTCATTGCCCCCCATTTACAAACTATTATGAAGCCAGTATGCAAGCTCACTCAGAAACAGAGAGCCAGAATAAAATAAATGAGTGACTGATAAAAGGGAGCCGAACATCTAGCAAGCCACAGACACACAGATAGTGTCACAGATACCAACGTGGATGTGAGTGGCCAGATGGCAGCTGCATGCACGCCCCGGTATCTGGGAGGAACTGCACTGACAGAGAAAGGAGCTGATTGGTGGTGTCAGGGCTATTACAGTTACTTTTGGAACCAAAAGTAACTGGTAATAGCCCTGACCCAGTTTACACCACACACTTTTGATCACAATATGTTCATCAGTGACCACACCCTTAAAGCGTTAAAGTCCATGGTAAAATACATGCTGCTTGCTTTTTGTAAGACTATGTATTGCAATCAATTACCATATTACAGTAACCTTACATATTCACTAAATACAGTGAATATGAGCATGTACCATAGATACAGGTATATTTTAAGTTTGAATTTCTGAAAAAAAAAATAACTTTCAACATACAGGCAGAAAATTTAAGAAAATAAAAGTCTACTGGGCTTGAGTTAAGGATGTTTCTCCTTTTATTAAAGCTGCATTATCGGTCACTGTTAAAACCTCCCTTTATTGTATTCCAATGACTCTCTTATGACTGCCAAGTGACATCAATGAGCTGAACTTGCCCATGCAGAGACAGTGCTTTAGTTAAGATATTTAACTTTGCTGCTCCACCTGAATGCATTCCGCCTGTAGATCTGATAAGTAGCACAGAGTCAGTCATCCAGAAGATCACCATCCCTAACACACAGGAGAAGGCACTTACACTTCTCAGAGGGGACCTGAACATCTCCATCCTCTGAGGAGAGAGCGGGTGTATTCACAATATTGAACTTGGAGGACTATCAGTTCATGGTATGTGCACTCCTCAGAGATGCAAGCACAAGTGATAAAGAAGACAGATACCACCAGCTGCTACAAAGAAAGAAGGAAATTAATAACTTACTTATGAGTGGAAATAAGAAGGTGTAGTTCACCTTAGCATCCACTGCTGGAAAACTGTTGTCGGAGTTGTACTTAGCTGTCAGCTGCAATGATCTGGGGGACTGCTGATCAGCTGATCTAACAGACAGAACCCAATACAGTTCACATTAAGTTAGAAGACGATGCCTAACCATAGCCTGGTGTTTCCGGACTGTGCAGTTTTCATAAAATCAAGGGGACATCACATTAAGGCTTACCCACAAAGGCTTTCTATCTATTAATTTATACAATCCACCTGAACACAAATGGAAAAAATATCAACCAAACACTACCACATATCTATGGTTGCTCTAACTAAGGTATAATGAAAATTATTTTTCATTATAGCAAGTTCCACGAAAACCATCAGGCCAGTACAGACAAAAATAGAACCATATTGTCATCTGGTGTGTAGCCAGTCTTCAGAACTTGCCGAGATTTTCATCCAACCACAGTATCTTGTTATTTTTCAAAACTGGCTATAGGACTGCTAATTCACATTGTTGCTTTGTGCCCCGCTGTCATAACATGGAGAGTCATTACAATAAGGACAAGGCAGGTGTTGAACATCTAACCTCTGCCATTTCACTTATTCACACCTCTATTCATTTGACTTAAATTACTTTCATAAGGCTGTTATATGACCCTAGATGACTCATATGACACTTTGCCTGGGATCATTATCAGTTTAATGAAAAGGATTTCCCCACTCAGTAGAACTGATAACACACATTTAATGACTACTGAAATGTCTTCAATTACAAGATTTTATTCTTGGTGGATATCTGACATGAAATCCAGTATACAGGCCACAGCTAACAGGGTTGCATGCAAATAGCCAATGCCAAATTAATAAAGTTTGTATTGCCAACATCAAAAATGAAAAATAGACATGTAAATGACTGGGAATCAAGGTTACTCAGTGTGGAATCCATCCTTTGAGTTTGTATAATGCTGGTGCATTTTTCCCAATTAACCTTGCCGTTTCATGCACAACAATGCCAATCTAAACCAGTTCAATGCATGCAACAATGTGCTGAATTGTTGCACAACATACCTCACTTTGGAGTGAACTGTAATTTGGGTCTAGGGAACTAAGAACGGGAGCTGAGAAGGGAAAAGAGAGGGAAGAGGGGGAAACGGCAACTTGTCAGTGCTGGATTAGCAATGTCTCTGTCACTCTGTCAGTAAGGCTAAGAGGAGCTAAGCTACTAATACGTTCACACCAACTTAGAAACACACACATACACAACTATACACACCTCCCCCCACGTACACACTTCATGCAAAAAACAGAAAACATTCCCACTCAAAAACAATCACACAGACACACACAGAGTTGTATACTTCAGTTTTCCTGCTTGTGTGTGTGTGTGTGTGTGTGTGTGTTTGTGTGTGTGTGGTGACACCTAGAGGCATTCATTCCAGCTGTAATAGCTTTCTATCAATTATTCAGCCATGCAATCAAATGAGTTGAAATGCAGTGCTTTTAGCAATATCACCGGGAATGTGTTCTCTCTCTCTTTCTCTTTCTTTCTCTCTCTCTCTCTCTCTCTCTCTCTGCGTCTGTGCGTGCGTGTAATCTTGTCCCTTTTATTCTTGCAGTTACATAAATGTAAACATGAACACCTATCTACATTCATAGGCACACACTGTTCTTAAATTATCATGCATGAATAGAAAAGATACGGATAGAATACTCACTCACTCATAATGGTAAAGTGCTGTTACTTTCAACTCTGTATTCACATTCATCTCTCACCTTTATAGGTGAAATCAATAGACCACATTTTGTTCCGACACTGAGCAATGAATATAGGCGCACACACTGTGGCTAGTGGATATTCACATCAAGAATATCCTGGTTCAAGCCTCATCTTTGTGTAAACTAAATGCTGTTTCCCATATATACCCAGTCCAGTGGGATCAGGGAATTTAAATTACTCATAGGTGTAAATACAAATGTTATGTTTTTATAATTTTCTGCCACTATAACACTGAGTGCACAAACAAAAGACAGACTAAAGCACATCTTACAATATAATGATAATATTATATAAAACTATAGTTTTATATAATACCATAGAGATGAGTTGAGAGCCCTTTGACATGACCTAAAGAAGTAACATAACATTTGTTGCATGATGCTGGATCACTTTATGCTAAACAGGTGTTGCTCTCACTGTTCATTTTAGATATTTAGTGTATTGGAATTTGTTATGTTCCATGTTGGAATATATTTGCCACCACTGAGCAATCGCATTGCAAATTAGATTGTTTTCTAACTGGCCTGAAAAAGACTGCCATCATGAGGAACGTATAATGCCATGCCAGTCCCCTGATGATGATTCTAATGGTTTAGAGAGACATCATTTTGGGATGCAGTTGGTATGAGCGGAACTGCAGTCTCGCTGCTAAAATATTTTTCTGTCAAAACTCAGTTTGTCTCTTTGTTCAGCTCGATGTAGATAACCTCTGACTATGAATTTGCAAAGCAATACAGTGGGCTCTGTATTATACAGTCTTGTAAACCTAATTAAAAATGTGACTGATGGATATTTAATGATGCCATGTTGTACCTTAATCACATGAACATGTTTCATTTTAAAATCCTTAATCGTAGTGACTTGGATGTGACTGTCTGTCAGCTCAACATCAATACCATTGTTAAAGTTTAAAGTAATCATAATCATCTGCACACATACAGGATTGGGTGTACAGCCAGGGTATCAAGTAGCTAAGCTAATCTAACAAAGCTGGTCAGAAATATTAACTACTACCATTAGGTTTGTATAAATTCCCTACTCTGGTTTTCTTAAGTGTAACAATAATGATAGAAAAAATTACCCAGCAGTGTAGAAGCTATGTTGATTGATACTTCACTGACTTGAATCTCATCTTTATATTGAATGTTCAATCACTTCACCTTATTATATATATATTTTTTTGCTCTATTTTGTATTTTAGTTTCTTTCATATATCTGGAATATACGGTACAGTATCCTTCCCTGGTGTAGTGAAGATGTTGCTGTTGGAAATAGATGTCACCTT